CTTAGTGAGGCCCTAAGCAACTCAGGGATACCCTGTCTCTAAATAAAATATAAAAAGGACTGAGGATGTGGCTCACTGCCCCTGGGTTGAAATCCTTGGTATCAAAAAAAAATCTTATATATAAAGCTTGTGCACTCAATAATTCTTTTGAATTAATGCCTTCCACCACTTAATGTTCTAAACACATATATGCAATAAGGATAAAAACAAATGAACTAAAGCCAAATTTAGCAAAAGAGAGTTAATGAGTTCTTATGATCAGTATCAGAGCTGGAAGGAACACACACAGATATGGTCTAATTAATTCCCTCAGTTTGCAACCTGTGGAACTGAGGCCAAGTGGGTATGGGGTTTGTGACTTAGAAGTGGGCCAGATGCCAGTAATCCACATGTCCACAGCAGTGTCCTCTCTATGACCCTCATTGCAAAACCTTCGAGGGGATACTGAAGCAAGCTAACTAATTACCATGAGTCTTTGAAAAGTAAACAAAAACCCCATTTGTCTGAATCCATGGAGATAAACTAAGTGATTTCTGAAGCTTCCTTCTAGTCCAGGCTGAGAATCAGTTTTGCACTGATTCTCATTACACTGTGTGAGCCCATGCTTGGGCGTCCTGTAGGAAGAACACTGTTGCAGGTGTGCCATCTCGTGGCAGGAGGTGTACATTGCACCTCCAGCTAACTCCACCAACCATGGACCTTAAATGCCCTCTAGTAATCAGAGTTCTTACAGGATACCAAACACACGGTGGCACTGTGCTAAACACTATGATTACATGATGCTGGAAGTCTCCAAGGTCTCCTCTGGCTTTGATATCTTCTCATTAATTAGTGATGGCCACAATTTATTCTCCTTAACACAGTCACCAGATTGGAACTGAAGATGTCAGGAGTACTAACTGTGGCAATGGGGAAACCTCTAGGGAAGGTGTGAGCCTGACTTGGATCTTGAAGAGTCAGAATAATTTTAACAGGCAGGAAAAGGAATACACAGAAAGAGAAATGAGATGATTAAAGAGGTCGTGGGGCAAGGATACAGGGGGAGGAGGAGACAGCACAAGGGAGCTAATGGATGGAGCTCAGGTGGCTGCAGTAAATGGTGCTCCTAGCAGATGAGGGCAGATAAATAAAGGTTTAGAAATGACCCTCTAGACCATAGGAACATTTGTAAGTCCTAACTGGGGAATTGATTTGATGAAAATGGTATTTTAGCAATTTTAATACATCATTCTAGTACCTTCAACTGGAAGGGAAGATCTAGAAGAATTGAGAATTGAGTTTTTTTGTCATTATTCTTATTTAAAATTCTTAAGCAGGGGCAGTAACTCCCAACTCATAGGCTGCTAGGAGAGGATGGTATGTAACACGCATAGCATAGTGACTGGCACGTAGTAGATGTTTAGTGATTTGATAATGCTCTTAATTATCATCTCTCTGAAATTTACCTGACATCAGGGGACCTCATTTCATGATCATCTTACCTCGAGGATCTGCTTTGCCCATTTTCTCTCCAAGGGTAGTAGAGGCTCTAGGCTCAATCTAGAGTTCAGGAGCCAGGGCACACCCAGTGAACTTTAGTGGGGAGGTGGGAAAGGAGCAAGTGGGGAGGGGGCCAGAAGGGGCCTTGTCTGAATCTTATCTCCATTCTCTCCCTTGCTTATTCCCTCTAACAGTGGGAACTTTCCATGAAACTATCCATCCTCTCTTCCTGGAGCAGGCACCTTGCTCCCTAGCATGGGTCCACGGAGACTGGGGCAGTGAGGAAGCTGAACCAGGATGGTGTTTAATGTCCCAGTCTCTGAGAGGCAGAGAGTGAAGCCTAAATGCTTTGACAAGTGGACATACTTGTTAAAGAAAGGGAGGGAGGGAGGGGAGAAAATCTGTTGAGGCCCCAACTCTGAGGAGAAATCTTGGCATATCAAGTTGGGGAGGGTGGTGATTAAAGAAACAGTAGGCTGGTGGGGTAGCTCAGTGGTAGAATGCTTACCTGGTATGCACAAGGCCCTGGGTTCCATCCCAACACCACAAGAATGTTATACCAAAATAAGTTAAAAACCAGGCATGGTGGCACCTACCTGTAATCCCAGCTGCTCAGGAAGCTGAGGCAGGAGGATCACGAGTTCAAAGCCAGCCTCAGCAACTTAGCAAGTCCCTAAGCAACTCAGTGAGACCCTGTCTCTAAATAAAATATAAAAAGGGCTGGGGATGTGGCTCAGTGGTTAAGCACCCCTGGATTCCATCCCCAGTACCAAAAATATCTTTTTTGATAAGTAAATTAATAAAAAGGAATGGTAAATAAGATTGAAAAAGAGCACTCAAAGAGAAAAGGGACAAATGAGAGAAGATTCAAAAGGCAGTTTGATATGTTGACAAAAATATTTGTACATATGGGAATCAAGGGACCTGAGTTTAACTTCTACTAGCTGTGGCCTTGGGTGAGTCACTTTGCCTCTAAGAAACCATCGCCTTTTTTTTACAACTAGAAGCTCTGACTAAGTTAATAATCTTCTGGCTGTGCTCCATCCAAGGAGCCCGGTTAGAGGCTCCAAGAAGCCAAATGTAGCCCCTCACCTCCTCAACCAAAGCAGCTCTGTTCCCACCAGCTTTGTGCATTGACTTCCCCCGTGAGTATTCTCTTCGGTTTGTGTAAAAGGCTAAAAGGCTATAGAGCTAGAACAAAATTTGAGAAGAAACTAGAAGTAGTGGTACGTGCCTATAATCTCAGTTACTTGGGAGGCTGAGGCAGGAAAATCTTAAATTCAAGGCCAGCATAAGCAACATAAGAAAATCCTAACTCCAGGAAAAAAATAAAAAGAAGAAGAAAACCATTGGACTCCATGACCCCCTCCCAATTATGGATATATGGATATATATATACCCATGTATGGATACATATACCCCTTCCCAACTCTGGATATATGATTGAACTGCTGTCTCCCAAAGCTAGTGCCCTTCCTCAAAGAAGAAAGAAATACACAAGAGCCTCCCTCTCTTCTCCTCAGCTGGATGAAATTCTGAGGACAAATTTGGATTCACAGTTCTCAGCTTCCCATGACACCAGCAGCTGTGCCTGGAATTCATAGACATTCTACAAAATTCTATGGCTGGGTGCCTAACAGGCAGGGCAACAGAAAGGCTGTGAGACATATCCACTCCACCCTGGGCAGTTTCAGGGTGTAGGGACCCTCATAATGAGTCCCTGGGCTCCATTATGAGCATTTCTATCCATATACATCTTGAGCTTCCTCACAGCATCTTTCTCCTTCTTCCCAATCACTGGCTCATCTGTCCTTTTCTCACTTGTCTCTCCCCACACCCCATCCTTCTAACCTGAAGTCTGTGACCCTTTGATCTTGACCCTTTCCTGGATGGGGAGTTGGAGTCAGTGAGATGTTCAGAACAAGCAGGGCTGAGTCAGGGATCTGGGGCCTTGCACTCAGAGGAAGAGGCACCTCCAGAGCCCATATTAAGAAGCGAGGACTGAAACTAAACCATGCTCTGTCCATACCATGGGGAATTCCTCAGCCTGAGGAAGGCAGGCAATTCTGACACATGATGCAGCTTGGATGAACACTGAGGATTTCAGGCTGGGTGGAAAGCCAGTCACAAAAGGGCAAATGCCATATGATTTTACTCATCTGGAGTAGTCAAATTTATAAAAACAGAAAGTAAGAGATGATTGCCAAGGAGTAGGGTGAGCAGGGAATGGGGAGTGTTCTTGTTGTTTGTTTATTTTTAATAGTTTACTTTTTAAAAAATTTTTAGTTGTTAATGGACCTTTATTTTATTCATATATAGTGCTGAGAATCGAACCCAGCACCTCACACATGCTAGGCAAGCACTCTACCACTGAGCCACAAGCCCAGCCCTGTGGGGAGTTGTTTAATAGGTACAGAGTTTCAGTTTGAGAAGATGAAAAAGTTCTGGAGATTGGTTACACAAACAATGTGCATATCCTTAACAGGGCTGAATTGTGTGTTGAAACTGGTTTAAGATGTTAGTTTTATGTTACATAAGTTTTCAGTCCTGGGGATGGAACCTAGGGCCTTGCACTGGCGAGGCAAGTGCTCCACCACTGAGTCCACAATTTTTTTTTCTTTTTTTAAGAAAGATTCCTTTGCAGAATCCCTGGCTAGCTCCTGGTATCCCCCTTCCTGCTCACCACCTGGGGATGAGATAGATGGGTGGACAGCAAGCCTTGGGGGGAAGTGAAACTCCTGGCTCCTCCTGGCAGGAGATCCTTCCAAAGCTCTTGCTAATGTGTCTGACTCCAATATTTCTCCATCCATGGGCTTTTGGCCTGTTTCTCCCCAGATATGACTCATTTCACTGAGTAAACATGAAGCCTCAAGTGACATCACACACAGAGAGATTTCAATTAATTAGGTAAAAAAAAAGAAAACACTCAGAGAGTGGTTAGAACCAGAGAACAAGCCCAACCTTGCCAGAGTGGTTTATTTACAGAAAGGGCCCTGGGCCTCAGGGTCCTGGGGTGTGGCGCAATGGTAAGTCCAGGACTCCAGATGGGTTACTGTGGGCCTCTTGTTCACTCACTCTGGGATGGCTAAGGCACCTGAAAGAAAGTGCTAGATGGAAAGTGTGTGTCATCCTCCCATAATCATAGCCTCACATCACTGTCTGGTGGCCCCACACCCAGGAGGAGCCCAGGGAAGGAAGTGAGGAGGAACAGGGTCAAGACCATTGGTCAGGGACTCTCCCTTCCACTTGGGAGGAGCTTTCTCATGCTCAGCCTATACAGGGGACCCCAGGCCTGAGACCCTGAGACAGGCAAGAAGATGTGACAATAGAGGTCAAGATGGGGGACAAGGGAAGGTGGGAGGCATGGTAGGGAGAAATGAAGGGCCCAGGGGAGCAGTGGGCAGGGGCAGGCTGCTTTCACATCTCCAGCCCATTTGGTTCCTCTCCAGGGGTCAGACTTGAAGCAAAAACCTCTAGGACACATGATATTGTCCCTAAGGCCCTTCAGGGACCCGGAAGAGAGGCTGCACTCACCCTGGAGGAATCTGCTTCACCCAGACATGATGTGCTTGACAAAGGCTGGGGAAGAAAATGAAAATCAGTTGTGGACTTGGCCCCCTTTCAGCCTTCATTTTCCTCTCTACCTCTTAACCTGCCTCCTCTTCCCACCTTTCAAACCTTCCCACCACCCTTTCTCCAGACTGAAATTCTTTCTCTTATTTGAGGGTTGGTGGGAAGGAGGTAGAAGAGGGGAGAGACTAAACTCTGTTGTGTCTGCTCTTTGTGCTGATATTCAATACAAATGAAATGAGCTACATTATCCCCCATGACCTTGAGAAAGGTGCCAGCATTTCTGGCTACTCAGGTGAGATAACCGAGGCTCAGAAGATAAGTGACTTGACCAAAGTCCCACAGCTAGTGCATCACAGAGCTGTCTTCTAAATCCTTCCACCGGGATATTCACTCCCAGGACGGAAAAGAACACATTCACCTGGGAGTCCACCAAAGCTCATCTGAGGACACATCCTCCAGCCCTGAGCGGTCAGCCAATCGTGCCCCCACCCGTCTTGGGCCCTGAGGAAGCGAAGCAGAAGCAATACCTTCGTAATTGATGCAACCATTGGCGTCCTCCTGCCCAGATAACAGCTGCTCCACCTCAGCCTCTGTCATCTTCTCTCCTGAAGTGGGGGTTGGGAGGTCGTGGGCTCTTAATTACAAATGTCAAAGAAGACACAGACAAAACCCAAGTGTCCCCTAAGACTGAAGGTCCAAGATTCTTGCATCTGGGAAATGGTTCATAACAAGTCTCCGGCAAAGGCTTTGAGGGTGGGGCCAACGGCTTTAAGGCCCCGCCCACTCCCTGAAGCCTCTCCCCATTTCTACAACCTCCAGGGCCCATTGGCTGAGAAGACAAGGACAGAAGATGGGGTCTCCCTCTCAGGCCTCAGGAGTAACCCCTGCTCTGCCACTATTCTCCTCTGCTAAACTCTGGTGCCTGCTGAGCAAACCCAGCTGGGGAGGTTGTTCCTCAAGAGCCCAGGGAGATAGACTGGGTCAAGACGTAATTCGCTGGGAACCCCCGCAATACAAGCCACCTTAGCCCTTCTCAGCCCTCCCGCCCTCCCACGAGGGCTTCATCTGCTCAGTTTGCATACCCAGGGTAGCGAGGACATGCCGAAGTTCAGCGCCCATGACCGTGCCATTGCTCTCCTTGTCAAAGACACGAAGCCCCTCCACGAAGTCCTCGTAGGTGCCCTGCTCCTTGTTGCGGGAGATGTGCTGCAGGATGGGCAAGAACGTCTCGAAGTCCAGCATCTTGGCATTCATCTCTTCCAGCAAGCATCAGGAAGGACAAAGGAAATTCCATAAGCAGGGAGTAGGCAGCCAAGCCGAGACCTCACCCCAGCCCTGGCAGCACCCAGAAATCGTCCTGGAGGGCGCAGAGCTGCCCACAGGAGCAGAGCAGGAGACTTGGGCCCAGGACAGTCTATTCCCAGGCAAAGAAGAAGAGCAGAAGAAAAAGGAACCTGACTCCACCCACATCTCAGAGCTCCAGGTGGCCACCTTGGCAGAGGAGCTGCAGATGGCAGCAGCAGGATTTGAGGAGCCCAAAAGGCCACACAGCCCAGGCCCCAGGGTTCATATTCACAATGTAGACTTTTTTTTTAACTAGAGATTGAACCCAGTGATGCTTTACCATTGAGATACACCCCCAATCCCTTTTTGTTTTTTATTTTGAGACACGGCCTGACTAAGTTGCTGAGGCTGGTTTGAACTTGCAATCCTCCTGCCTCAGTCTCCCAAGCTGCTGGGATTACAGGCGTGCACCACTGTGCTCAGCCCAGGTTTTCTATTGACCTCTAAAAAGCTCTGATAATATGGGCAATCTCATAGCCCTTGGACACTTTCCTGCCCACAATATTTGCCCCCATCACTATTATCTTCAGTCAGAGCAGAAGGGGAAGAGGTCAGAACCAAGGGAGGCAGAGAGGACCAATCTGAGACCCAGGAACCCTCTAGAGACAGCCCACCCTTGCTAATGCCCCTGCCCAGGTCCACCTGATCCCCTCAGCTCCACACCTTGAGGACAGGCTGTGTGCGTTTGGCGGTAGCTGTTAATTTCACTGCCAAACACAACAGTTGACATTTACAAATGGGACATATGTCCTTGCACCACTTTCTAAATTCTCACCAAAAAAATCCACCAAGTTTTGGTTCAAAGGAGGGAAAGATGCTTCATTGTAGAGCTAATTTTGAATATCCTCTAATTTACATTAAACAAATCAATTGCCAACTTCAGGGCTCTACCACTTATTAGGAACGATGTGTGATACGGCTCACAGGACACAGTGCTGTGACAGACACTTCAACTAAAAGCTTCAGGGTTAGAGATAGTGGGTGACTAGTTATCTTATTTCCAGTCAGTGTTCCTGCCCATGCCATGTCCCTGACAGCTGGTGGGGAGGGGGTCAGAGGAAGACACTGAAGCAGTAGCAGGTCTCTCCTGCCCTCCATGAGCTCCCAGCCTCATGAGGGAACCAAGAGCAAGCACAGGCTCCATTCTTCAAGAGTTATCTAAGGCTAAGGCTTCTAGATAATTCTCACAATGGGACTCAGGTAACCTGGGTAAGGGAGGCTGGTCCTGAAGGGCTAAAGGGGAGGACAGAGAGTGAGACTGACAGGAGTTGAATCTGGACCAGGAGCTGCTGGGCAGTGCTGGGAGAGGTCAGCCAGGGCCCACACTAACCTTCTAGCTTGGGCTTGCCCAACACACGCAGCACCTCAGCATTGGTGGGGTTCTGGCCCAAGGCCCGCAGCACATCCCCACACTGCCCGTAAGTGATCTTCATCTCTCCACCTGGGGTCCGGTCAAACAACGAAAAGGCCTCTTTGAACTCTGTAGAGAGAAGAGTCAGCTATAGCCTACTGGTCCCAAGAGAAGGCAGTGGCCAGGGTCTGCTCAGCCTCCACCCCACTGAATAACAGGTTAATGTGTGATTGAAATAAGCCAGTATTTTCCTTTGGCCCCTGTCCCAGGCTCTCCTTGGAACCTGTCCCCACTCCATCTTCTGTCAATAGAGTGGCAGCCTGGTGTCCAGTCCAGCCCTGGCCTGAACTGTCTCCTATCAGCCCATTGCTACACAATTTGAATGTCTCCCCTGCCTCGACCCCTCCCACTACCTGTCCTTCCCTGGTGTAGCTGAGAGTCCTGACTGCTGAACAGAGAATTGAAACAGGCCCAGCCTGGGAGTGAGGGTCCCTGGGTTTTCACCTCAGCTCTGGCTCACAGAGAAGGACAAGCCAGTTTGGGTCTCAGTTTTCTTGTGCAAACTAGAGGGTGAGAGCTCTCCCTCACCACCCCTCCCCAGTGTCAACAGAGGTAGCAGGATGTGGAGGTACTTTGCTAAGTGATAATACCTGCTCAAGAATCAACTATTATCAGTACTGCCTGTTCCAGGCTAAAAGAGGACTCCTTGTCCACGTAAGGTGGCATTGGGACACAGTCAGACCACCTCAGCTCTGCCACTGATCCATATGCTGCTTGGGCAAATTGCCAACCTCTGTGGGTCCTCGATTTCTTAGCTGTAAGTAGGGATACAATGTCCACCTGAGCAGGTTGCTGGCGGGATCACAAAGCACTCCAAGCATGGTGTCTTGCATGTGATAAGGGAATCCGTGAATGGTGGTCAACTATGTTTTCTAGTTCTAGAGGGAACTCAGTATTATAAAGATGGACTCCTCAGGGCCAGCAGGGCAGGTGTCCAAGGGGCAAGGTCAAACTAAGGCACTCCTGGGACTTTTGCAAAGAGCCTTATTTCTTCATTAATCTGGATTCAACCAATTCATTAGTGGGGATCATTTGTACTGGGAGTGGCACTGAAGTTGATTTCCACAAAGCAGTGGTTTATTAAGCAGATTAACAGTATAAGCCAAAGAAGAATGTGTGAAGTTCTTAGGAGAAAAGCTGTTCTTAGTCTTCTTCAAGTGCTTTAGAAACGCTTTTTTTCCTTAGAGGCTGTATATGGATTATTTAGACATCTACATATCAAAGCACATCCCCCTGGATCTTTACTTACAACTCTTTATTAGACTTCATATGAACTCAAAATCAATAACTGAATTCAAATTCCATTTCTTTTCCTTATTATGACCTTGAGAAAGTGAATATTTAATCTCTTTTATTAATAGCACCTACCTCATAGGGTCTTTAAATTATATTTAGACTAGTTCTAGAGTATAAGCAAATAAAATAATGTATGTAAAAATCTTAACATAATTTACCAAAAAACATAGTAAACACAATGCTGTTAGTATCACACAGTAACACAACACTGTTAGTATCATTTCACTGAGTTTTATCTCAGCTTTATCATTTAACTTTGTGATCTTGGCCAAGTCACTTAATCTCTCTGAAACTTGGTTTCCTACTCTGTAAAAAGGAAATAACAACTCCTCACAGCTTGTTATAAGAATTCAATTTCCTAATGTTTAACATAATTAGCATGGTGTCTGCCACAAATTCAGGTTCGATAATTATTTAATAATTGAATCTGAACCCAGATATTTTGATCTTCTCCTAATTCACTCAGAAGAGTGAAGTCAGACTTAACAAAAGAGAGAATTTCCTCATCTAAGAAGATATAGTGAACTGGGGTTGTGGCTCAGTTGTAGTGTGCTTGCCTAGCATGCGTGATGCACTGGGTTCAATTCTCAGCACCACATATAAATAAGTAAAATAAAAGTCCATAAACAACTAAAAAATATATTTTAAAAAAGATATAGTGATATTTAATAGGAAAACTGAATAATAAGAACAATTACTTGGGATTTGAGCACAGGCTTTGAGCTGGTAATTTTGCATAGATTACTCATTAATCTTTTAAAAAAATTATACTAAAAAAAAAAAAAAACTTACGTTGTAGGCATTGTTATCTTCACTTATAAGCCAAATGCAGAGCAAATGCTCAGCATGGTTACTGAGCATCTATTAAGGAAGCCAAATAGAAATGGTGGAGAGAAAGGAGGAAGAGGAAGAGGCCTGCTTGCTGTGCCTGCACGAATGGTCCAACTGTACCTGGCCTGCTGGGAAGTCCACTAAGCACATACAAATCAAAGCTGAAGTTTGATTGTTACTAGGAAAAAACAAAGCCAGTGGCATTAGAGGTGAGGCTCATGGGCCCAGAAAAGCCTTTCCTCAATAGTCTGCAGTAGTGTAGTCAGTGCCTCCTAGAACAAGTGCAATGGTGACAATAACTTTCCAGAAGGAAAGTTATGGAAATCTGTGGAGGGACCAGAGAGGGAATTCAAGAGTTAGAAATTAGTTCATATGAGAGGAAAAGCATAAAAGAAATTCGGGCCTTATCACCTAATAAATATAAAGCTAAGAAGGGGTTTGAGGGGCTGGGGTTGTGGCTCAGTGGTAGAGCACTCGCCTAGCACACACAGGGCTCTGGGTTCGATCCTCAGCACCACATAAAAATAAGTAAATAAAATAAAGGTAAAAAATAAATAAAGAAAAACGTGTTTCCCAACAATACTAGTCTTTAAAAAAAAGGGGGGGGGTGACAACTATTTCTAAACAGATGGAGGGTAACTACAGAATGCTAAATAGTCACAGAATTTCTGAATTAAAAAGAACCAAGCCAGGAGCAGTGGCACATGTGTAATCCCAGTGACTTGAGAAGCTGAGGTAGGAGAATTGAAAGTTCAAGGCCAATCTGAGCAATTTAGCAAGACACTAAGCAAATTAGTGAGACCATGTCTCAAATTAAAAGATTAAATAGGGGGCCAGGGCTGTGGCTCAGTGGCAGAGCATTTGCCTAGCATGTGTGAGGCACTGGTTTTGATCCTCAGCACCACATAAAATAAATAAATATATAAATAAAATAATTTTTAAAAAAGATTGAAGTGACCAATCCCCCTAACTATCCCAGTTGGCTTTAACAAAGATTTTCATTTGGGAAAAGAAAAATTTTATCACTAGTTGATTTTCCAGTCCTCATTTGTGTTGTAGATATTTCATTAAAATGCACAAAAAATAACCTTAAGAATTCCACAGAATTCCAAAAACTATTGACTGAAAGTGAATATCCACAGTAGAGTACAAAAACAGAGTGCAAACTTAGTGAGATCTGTCTCAAAATAATAAATAAAAAGGGTTGGGGATATAGCTCAGCAGTAAAGTGCCCTTGGGTTCAATCCCCAGGACCAAAAAACAAAAACAAAGAACAACAAAAAACAAATGCCAATATGATTCCATTTACTCATTCAAAATGCATATGCCAGTTCTCATGCTCTATTTGTGGGTAAGTTGCATCGCTTTTTTGGAGGGCAATTTGGCAATAACTATCACAATTTAAAATGTGCATATCCTTTGACTCGCAGCTAGGAAGCTTGCCTGGGGAAAGAACAGTTTTCCCTAACTGGAAATAACCCAAACATCTGTAAATGCAGTCCTGATAATTTTAGAGCATTTATGTATAAGTGTATATGTATATTTTATATATTTTTTTATTTTTTAATAAAATTATATGTAATTGAGATCAGGGGATTGAAATCAGGGGTGCTATACCACTGAGTTATATTTCAAGTCCTTTTATTTTTTATTTTGAAGCAGACTCTCACTAAGTTGTCTAGGGTCTTGCTAAGTTGTTGAGGCTGGCCTTGAACTTTCAATCCTCCTGCCTCAGCCTCCCAAGTCTCTGGAATTACACGTGTGCACCATCACTACCAGTACACATTTCATTCTTGAAACATCAGACCCCAACAAAAGAGGGACTAAGGGGTGAAAATCAGATCAGAGGGTGGGAGATCTTGAAACTTATCTTGAAGTTGTATTTAACAACACTTTATGTAAGATTGAGAAAACATAAATCATCTCCATCCAAGGTAGAGAAGAGTGCTTGATGGGATCGCAGATGAACTGGGGTTCCCACAGGTCACCATTGACCCAGCAACCATAGTGGGTTAGCATCTTGACAGGCCTCATGATGGGGAGGGAAGCTAGTAACCTAAGGAGGGCTTTTCAAAAACAGGAACAGAAATGAGGGCTTCCAAATAACTTGAGTAGCTCTTTAGGGTGGAGGGGAAAGGGCACTAACACTTGTTGAGCATCTGTTATGTTCTAAGCTGTCTAGCTGAACAATTAAGAATCCGGTTGCCGTCTACAGCCATGCCACCCTGAACATGCCCAATCTCATCTGATCTCAGAAGAATCAGGTTGCCTAGGTGTGAACTCTGCCCCACCACTGACTGATGAGTGAGACTGGACAAACCCCCCCATACTCTCGGGGCCTCCATTTTATCATCTAGAAAATGGGGGTGGTAGTTGCTACTGTGTAGGGTTGTTATGAGAATTAAACGAGTTAATCCATAGAAAGTGCCCTGGTCTGTGCCTTCTCCTCTTCCTCCAGAAAAAAAAAAAAAACACAGCTGAGAGGGGAAAGTAGGGTTGTTCGTACTCACCTTCAATCTGGTCAGCACTGAAGTCTATCTGTGGGGAGGGAAACAGAGGAGTGAGGGTAGAGACTGTTAACAGCTTCCAAAGGGAAGCCTGGTCACCTCCAGCAGGAAGGAGACTGCAGGCCGAGTGTATGCCCCCAGCCTCCTCATGGACAGGCCACATATAATATACAGCCTCCAAACCTCTATCAAAACCCAGAGGGAAACAGAAAGAAAAATCATGTAAAAAACTCGAGAACCTACTCCCTATTGATAAACTCCTCATCCTGGCCACACTTAAACTGCTCTCACATCTACCCTTCAGTCTCTCCCCATTCCACAGCCCTCTGACAAGCTGCAGCTCCTCCTGCTTTGGGTGCCCACCCTTGGATTTACTTCCTTTTCTACTTGATCCACCTCCCTCAATGGAGCTTTCCCTCCCATCACTGGTCACCACCCCAAACCCTCCTTCAGCACATTGCAATCTTAGACATTTTGGAACAGCAAGAGTCCTTTACATGGGCCCTTGTTGCTTTGTGATAGTTTTCTAGTCATTGCCTTCCATGTGTACCCTGTGTCCTTGAAGCCAGGGTTCCTGCAGGACAGAGATTTTGTTATTGCTCACTGAAATACCTGGTACATAGTAGCCACTCACAAAAATATTGGTTTAATACAGGAATAAATTTTGGATTCTCCCCGTATTGTCCTTAAAGAAAAGGAACTAGTAATATCATGTCCCTTAAATGCCCCTTTTAGTTCACAAGGACCTAGCCAAGCCCAGGGAACCATGAGAGTTGACCCAGGGCCAAATGCCTAAATAAGTATTACCGGGAAGATACCAACTTTCTCTCAGGCATGCTGAGACCTAGGGCAAGTTAGTGTTATCTGTAGAAAGCTGCTTTCTTGCGTGCACACCAGGGTAGCTGCTCCTTGGAATGCTGGTCATACAAGGGACAAAGCAAAGTAAATTAATGATATCACCACATCTGTAGCCAAATATAAAGCCACACCCCTCCCTGAGAAAACCGGGGCGGAACTGAGGGCACCATGGAAAAGACATGTGTCACTCATCCAGCCGGCCACCACTGTGAAGGTGCTGTGTAAGAGAGGAGGTACTGCTTGGTGAAGTGCAGTGAGCGATACAGGTGCTGCCTGTTCCACCTATTGCCACTGCTTTCCCAACAAAGTCTTATGCCTTGTATGCTGTCCCAGGTATTTTCTTTGGCCTCTTGGCAACCTATCCTACTGCCCTGGCACAGCTGGGCCGTGGACCTGACACTCCCATGATGCCTAATTCAATGCTGAATAAATACAGAGGAGGAGTGTAGGAGGTTCCAAAAATGAATGGCAATGACCAGCCATGAGTCATGTTCACCAAGACCTGAAATGTCACCTCAGCGTCCTAACCCATTTCATGGCATCCCACCCCGTCCAACCCCTCCCCTCCCCAGCAGCAGCGATTGCTACCCTGGAGCATCTTCGTCATGTGCCACTATTCCTAGTCCTAGTTCTGCAAGGAAACTAGGAATGGACTTTGCCAAATGTGGGTTTGGGGTAGTGGTGAGTATGTTAAATGGGATAAAGGATGCTCTGCATTAACTCTCTGAGAAAAAGATATAGTAGGCCTTACTTTGCAATGCTTTAAGCCCAGGAAAAGTATGTAAGAGAAACTAGTATAAAAGCATGAAGTCTGGAAGCCGGGCATGGTGGTGCATTCCTGTAATCCCAGCAGCTTGCCTGCCTGAAGCAGGAGGATCGCAAGTTTGAGGCCAGCCTCAGCAATTTAAAGAGGCCCTAAGCAACTTAGTGAGACCCTGTCTCAAATTCTTTAAGTTTGCTTCTTTAAAAAGTGTGGGGGGGGGGGGCAGTGGGGGATGTTGCTCAGTGGTTAAGCACCCCTGGGTTCAATCTCTGTTACCAAAAAATGAATAAGTAAATAAAAGCTGAAGTCTGGCTACATAGAACCCCACACATTGGACTTAAGTTTACCTTTGCTTTCTCTTTGAGAAAAGAATCTTATAAACAAAGGCACTGGGTAAGTATAATAAAAGGAAAAAATGAATCTTGGGAAAGACACTGCTTTTCTTTTCCCCCATACTTTAGAGTAATTTCAAAAAACCACCAGAAAAGAGGACTGCAATAGGAAATTGGGAGAGGTGAGAGGATGGAGGGAAGTGATAGGCACAGGGAAGGGCCCCCATGATACCACCAGGCCACTCCCTCCCAGACATCAGGGACCAGGCCTGGCACTTTATCAGAATAAATCAAAGAAAGATGAGGAGGGTTCCTGAGGGGCGGATGGTGAGCTTCTCTTGCCAGTCTTAGTCCATAGTGACATATGACAGAGAAACCTTCAAATACTTTTAAGGTCATGTACTAAACTAGGTCTCGCCAGAGGAAGCCATAACCAAGCCCAGGAATGGGGCCACTGCCTCCACCCCCTGGTCAAGTCAGTTCTACTTAATTCCTGCCCCTTGTGGCTCAATCCCAAGGTCTTCGACAGATAATTGTAGGGCATTCCCTCCTGTAAGTACTGGGAAATCTTGAGGAGGCCAGGGAGGGTCCTACGTCTAGAGCCCTGGACCTTGGGTTCTATTCCCATTGGTCACAGCACCTGGTCCTGAGCCTCTATTTTGACCTGACCCCTTACCCTCCCAGCCACTGCCCTAAAGCTGAGATCCCTGGGGGGCCTACCACTCCTTCGATGTTATTAATAGCTCCTCATTCCAGTGGCCACTTGACCTCTCCCGTTCTGGTGTCATGACTTAAAATTTCTCCTCTCCAGAAGCTTCTGACCCCTCCCTCCTGTGCCCACCCCCTCCCAGTTCATTCCTTTGCAGCTGGGTCAGCTAGCTAAGGGAGGCCTAAAATTACTAAGTCAGCCCACAGGACCCACTCCAGCTCCAGGGAGCATTCCAGATGAGGGAACAGGGCAGGGCAGGGAGGGAGTAGAGCTGCGGAGGCAGAGGGAAGCAGGCCTGGCTCCTGGCAAGGTTAGAGAGGAGGTCTCAGCTGGGATGGGCCAGTCCGCAGCAAACTACAAATAGGGGCTCAGGCCACAAAAGGAGGAGCCCCTTTGGGCAGGGAAAGAGGAAAAGAAGGACCCAGGCTCTTCTTACTGTATCTACAGCCTTCCTTCCCACCCCATCAACCCTCTACAGGGTGTTTGTGAATGAGGACTTTCCCAGACCTCCCGCACACTGGGAGCATCCTCCCTGACTGCAGACATCGCTTACTCCTAGTTATTTGTCTACTCCATAAAGATATCAAGCCACCTCCAGGAAAGTCAGTTTCCTTTACTCTGCTATGATGGCCCCAAAGGCCTTTAAAAAGGTTGGCTGGTTGGCTGGTTATACCTCCCACCATTCTCAACTCTGCTGGGCAAATCTGAGATGCCAAACAGGACTTCCTTGGATGAAGTATCCTGTTCTTAAAGGAAAAAAGGCTATGGCCACAGACAGCCCTCAGCCCGAGTCTAATACTGGCTCCATTGGCCCTTGGGGCTGTGATCTCGGGCATGGACACCATAGTCCTCATGCCAGTCTGACCTCTGTGAGGGCTCTCTCTATGCTCCAGGACAAATAGAACCCTGAATATCATCCCACCCTCCTGAACTTCACTTACCTTTACACTCTTGGGGTCAAAGGCAGGTTCCTTGGGGGGCTCAGGAGCGGAAGCTGGGGCAGGGGCTGGAGCAGGGGCTGGGGCAGAGGCTGAGGCTGACTTGGCCGCCTCCTTCTTAGGTTCAGGCTTCTTGGGAGGCATCTTGTCTTGTTGGGATCTTCAGTGGAGGTGGGACCTAAGAAGGAACCAAGAGATGCGACTCCTGAGAGATGAGATAGGAGACCAGGCCGCCTCCCTCGGCTTTTATCCTGGGCAGGAGCCCCCACAGAGGGGCTGGGTGAGAGCAAGAGCAACTGCTGCTGACTATAAAAGGAAGAAACACCAGCAGGGTACAGCTGACAACTGTGCATTGTCACCAGGTTTAGGGCCACCAGCCCCCTCACACACACACACACACACACACACACACACACACACCTCACTCCTCGCAGCCTCCACCTCTGGGATGGCTGACTCCTTCCTGCCAATTGGTGGAAACCCAGAGGGGCCAGGAAAACAGACCCTCTCAAAAATGCCAGAGCAGCCAGAGAGATGAGCTGACTTGAGCGGTTGATAACCCTCACACAAAGCCCAGGGGACAGCGCGGCTTTTTTTAGCCCCTCCTGAGCAGAGGCAACCCCTGCACATTCCTTTTAAGCCAAGATCCTTTAAGCTGAGAGCCACTCTGCGCCCTCAGTTCTGCCCTGAGGCTCAACTCTCCCGGCATGGAGCCCTGAGGCAACAGCTGAGCCAGCCAACCCTGCTGCCCCACACCCTCCCCATCCCAGGGGTGAAAGCCTCTGTTTTCTAGGGCGGCCATCCCAGAGCAGCTCCACAGACCTCAAGTCCCTAGGTCTACTACCTGCCTGCCCCGTCCATCCACGCACATTCATTCAATGGGCAGTAGAAAGTTAGGAGACTGGAGGTCAGAAAACGTAGGACTTAAGTCTTATTCTACTTCTAACTCAGTCTGCAATCCTCCCCCCCACCCCCGCCCGTGTGTGTGTGTGTGTGTGTGTGTGTGTGTGTGTGTGTGTGTCTGTTTTATGCTCACTCTGTGCCAGCCACAATTAAGCACTATTCATATAAAAACTCATTAAATCTTCACCATAATCCTACAAATACTATTTTTTACTCCCATTTTACACATGCAGAGATTGAGGCCAAAAATGAGGTGTGTCTG